AAGAATCAGCGTGCTTTCTATTTAGAGGCTGATCATTGGAATAAAGATTGCTGAAGCTGAAGGAGAAGAGAAAAGGAGTTTACTCTAAGGCAAAGAAAAATCTTACTTTGAAAAAATGTGATGAAGACAGATGTATCACTATCTGTAGTTTCTCATAGTTTGTACACAGATGGATTATGTTAAATTATGGATATTGGTGTTACTTATCATTTTTATGCCACTAGTGAGTGATTCTATACCTATAAAGAGTTTGATAGTGGTGTAGTAACTATATAAAATAATCGAGCTCATTGTATTACTTGTGTATGAAGCATCTTCATCATAATGCATAATGGTATTCTGAGAGAGCTTATTGATGTCAGATATATTCTATATATCAAGAATAATTTATTATCTGCTAAAGTTTTAACGAGTAAGGTCTATAAGATAGTCATTGAGCATGAGTTCTAAAAATATATCATGGAGCAATATTATTTTTAAGAGAGTTCATTATCACAGCCTTTACAATCTTCAAGGAAGAACAATGATTAGAATGGATGCTATTGTTGTTGATTCTTCTAATACCATTGCATTGTGACATATAAGGCTAGCTCATACATCAGAGGCTTTACTTATGAATTGGTTGAAGAATGATTTGATTAAAAGAGCGAGCACCTACAAGCTCAATTTTTGTGAATATTGTGTATTTGGCAAGAAGACACGAGTATCCTTTAGTACTATTACCCATAACACGAAGGATTATTTTGAGTATATTCACATAGATGTTTGGGGTCTGATGAAGACAACACCATTCAACATGCATATATATTTTTTATTTTTTATTTATGATTACTCCATATATGTTTGAGTGTATACCATGAGGTGTAAGAGAGAGGTACTGAAGATCTTTAGAGCTTGGAAGAAGTAGATTGTGACTCAAACTAATAAAAAAGATATGGTGTATCAGATTAGAAAATGGGGACAAATACATATCAGATGCATTATTGCAATAGAGTTAGAGAACTAGGATAGAAAACCACTTCACTATTTGAGAGACACCGCAGTAGAAAGGGGTGGCAGAGAGGATAAATAGGACTTTGGTGGAAAGTTCAATATATATTATCCATTGTTTGGTTGGATAAAGTATATTAGGCTGAGGCTATTGACTATGATTGTCACTTGGTGAATCATATGTCTTCTCTAGTTTATTGGAAAGAATACCCCAAAGAAGATGTGACCGGGGTATCCTGCCAGAGACTATGAACACTTAAGAGTATTTGAGTGTCCATCTTGCTATCTTGTCCATAATGATGAACTGGAACCATGAGCAAAGAAGAAAATCTTAATTAACTTTAGGTGTGAAATTAAGGTTTTCAAACTTTATGATTAGGGAGAAAAGAAATTATCATTCGTGGGAATGTTACATTCGACAAGGTGAGCATGTTGAAGTCCTAAGACTCGAATCAGGTGAAGAGTTATGATGGGACCATGCATAGATGTACTTCAAAAGTTGGAGTTTTATGCAACATCATTTATTCCACATAAAAAAATCATTTCTACCTATATGCCTATTTTAGCCATAGATCAGTGCTAAGAGAGTTTGCTACTTAGCTTTTGCATATTTTATATTCTTACAACTTGTTATTTTGATGATTCCAAATATTATTGTTTTGATTACTTAATTTCTCCTAATACATTTTGAAAGAATTATTTTTTGGCTCTTGTGTGTACTAACATTTCTGGAAAATCAAACTCCAAATTGGTGAAGACTTCAAATAAAGATCTGAATATACTATTTTTTAATTTGGAGTATGTATTTTATTCTTTTTGAGTCAGAGAAAGTGTGATCATAATTGAGTAACTTTAGCACACACACACTAGGGGAGATCTTTAAAAGATAAAATTTCTCATACTGATCGTACGGGATGAACCATGTTCGTGCAGGACGATCAGTCAGTTATACCCCTCGGAGAGCAATGGAATGAACAGAAAGTGAAAAAAAAATTCTAAGTCCTGATAATCCTAACAAATTTACCCATTCGTCCTTGGACGATATCCTCTGATTTCTCACTTTGAACTATTCGTCCAGACAAAATATCCCATTCATCCCCGGATGATGTCCTCTGATTTCTCACTTTACACTATTCGTCCAGACGAAATGTCCCATTCATCCCTGGATGATGTTCTCTGATTTCTCACCTTGAACTATTCGTCCAGACAAAATGTCCCATTCGTCCTTAGACGATGTCCTCTGATTTTTGAAATTAATAGTTCTTCTAGACGATTCTACCCATTCCTCCCAAGATGATGTCCTCTGTTCCTTAACCTTGTGGACCATCCTGCAGTTATCTTTCAATAAAGCTTGAACATAATTGTTCGTACCAGACGAACTATGCTCGTACGGGACGATGATCGGGTATGAAGTAATTTCGTACCAATGCAAATTGAGTTCGTACACAATAATTTTTACACTGTTTGTACGTATGAATTACGATCATACGGGACGATCAAGTACGTACATATTTGAAAAATTACAGTTTTTGGACAATTTTTTGTGTTTTTCATTTAAAAGGTCCACTTAAAACTATCTTGTAATCTTTTTGTCCACAGGTCTTTATGCAAACGGAAGAGAGATTGAAGGAGAGAGTGTTTGAAGGAGATTTTTTACTACTGGAGCGTGAAGTATTCACTTGGCACTCAAAGGTAAGGATCTTCGTTTGTGAATTGTGGTTACTTCGCTCCTTTCTCTTGTCCTTCTAGATTTCTCGTGATAAGATCTTGTCAAGGAGATCCAGTTTTCTGCCGACACTCGAGGAGTGTGAACAACGGGAGGGTTCTCTGCCTACACTTGGAGAAGTGTGAAAGGACGAAGGGTTCTCTGCCTACACTTGGAAAGTGTAAACAGCGGGAGGGTTCTATGCCTACACTTGGAGAGTTGTGAAGCAGCGGAGTACCTTGCCTACACTTGGAGGTACAAAAGGATGACGTCTAGTCGACAACTACTGCTGGAAAGAGATTTTTAAAAGCTTCGCTCCACTGTGTGGGGAACAGAAAAGGAGAGACATAATGTAATAGTGCACTACCTGAAGTGGGAGACTTTAGCAGTGAGTAGTGTATGTGTGTATATGAGAACCACTACTAATTATTTGTGCTTTTTATTTTTCCGCTGCTGTATTTATTATTACTAGTTCTGATGTGATTGTGGTTGAAAAATTTTATTAATTAAATTTATCATAAGTTTTTATCGATTTTAAATTATGAAAGAGTGTGGTAAAATTTTTAAAATTACCATTCAACCCCCCCCCCCCCCCCCCCTCTTTTAGCCGTTGGGACATGAGCTTAGGTCTAACAACCTAATTCATATATAAGAAGTCTCAACAATCAGGAGGTATGAGATGATATTCAAGATAAGGTTCCAGCTTAATAATCTATTATTAGGAGAAGTACTTGGTGCCAAAATATCCCAAAATCTGCTTGGTTGAGGGGCCACATTGTGTTTGCACTTTCAACTATAGAGGTTGAAATTCCTGGTCAATACAAAAAAGTAGTGTACAATCCTGATGATGATCTTTTAGAGAAATGCTATGGATGAAGAGATAGAGTCTTTTCAGAAGAATGCTACTTGGAGGTTGGTGAAACTTCCTTCTCGGAGGAAAGCCATTGGGTGAAAATGGGTATATGTAGAGAAGGAAGAATCTCATGGAGATGATATACGATATAAGACTAGGTTGGTGGAAAAACGCTCTGTGCAACATAAAGGGATTAATTATGATGAGGTGTTTTCCCCAGTAGTTAAGCATACCTCGACCCGTGTTTATTTGAAACTTATAGCACGCTATGGTCTGATTTTGCTACAGATCGATCCAAATATTACACAAGTAGTTGGTGTTGTGAGTAGTTTTATTCATGATTTGGGAAGGAGTTATTGGAAGGCTATGAAGAGTAACCCGAGGTATCTGAAAAGTATAGTTGATGTAGGTATGACATTTGAGAGGCAATCATTTGTTACTGATTTGTGTGTAGTGTAGATTGATTTGTGTGTAGGCTACACTGACTCAGATTATACAGATGATATTGATAGGCGTAGGTGTACGACTAACTATTTATTCACATTGGCAGGAGGTCTAGTCAGTTGGAGGTCAGTTCTTCAGTCTACTATTACTTGGTCTTCTATGGAGGCATAATACATGACAGTCATGGAGGCTCATACCAAGCACATTGATGTAAAGTACCATTTTTTCTAGGACTTAATTGCTGAAGGTTATGTCCAATTGAAGAAGTTAGATACCATGGAGAATCCAATAAAATTGATTATAAAAGTACTATAATTTCAGAAGTTCACCTACTTTAGGAGTTTGGTGAACATTCTAACTCATGACCGATTTCCCAATTGTTTTAAATAACTAAGCTTAAGTTGATCACTTGGGAGGGAGGGTACGTAAACAACCATCTTGATACAGTCATTTTGATATTGGAGAATATTTTATTATCTTCAATTTTTAGAAATGAAAGCTGTGGTGGACATTGTTATAGACATCCTTCCATATTGATTTCAGCTTTGATTGGGAAAGCATTTAGTGGCTAATTAATGCATTAATTAGAGAATCTGATTATTGCATAATTAAGATATTTGATTGATGCATTGATTAGGAAGTTTTCTTATTAGATTTTATTTTCAAATCTATTTGAAGGCTTGAGGGATGCTGTATGGGAGTATACATAAGAGAGAGTTAATTATAACTCTATTTTTTCAATATAGTAAAATAATCCCTGTGAACTTAGACATCTTCGTTGAACTCGCTTAATATTTGATTGTGATTTTTTGTTTGTTTCCATTGTTTTGCACAACAACATCTAGATTTTATTAAGGGTTTCTACTAGTCTAGGATTACATTTGGATTTAGAAAGTTTAATGCGGCTCATTAATCCACATAATTTGTGGCGCCCCATAATCAAACTTAATAGTTTCAAGCAATGGTGAAACTAATATAACATTTTCTTGTTTTTATTTAGCATGCTTATAGCAGATTAAACATGTCAGTTTACATATATCTTCTTATCATGCATCAAACTTGAAGTGCAATTGAATATTACCCTTTAATCACCTAAACAGGTTGGAATCAGGTCATGCATAACCCGGATTGAACTTAGTTGGCTATAGCAGAATCAAAGGAACCCATAAGCTATATGCACTGTTGAAGCTTACATATTTATAGATGAAAAAAAAAAAAGAATCAATACAAATATACACTTAAATTATACATAGTTCATTTCAGCTTTGAAATCCATTTGCTTTATAGAACTTGTTGAGAAATCCACCTCTCAAACATAACAAAGGTTTGCATTGGTCTATGTACTGGTGCCAAATGATTTCCACCCTGCAACCAATATAAAATTAATATCTAAATATTAAGAAGAAAAAAAAATGTGAATTAAATGTATCATCAATAGAAGTTGTGTGCAATTAAATATATCATATTTTTGACATGAAAACTTAAAAATTCTCTTACCTTGACAGTAGCAAAAGTCAAATTATTAGCCAACGAAATCGTATACCTGAGGAAGTGAAAACAAGCCCATAGTTACAAATCTATAAATTCAATTAAATTCTTCTCGATCTTTGACAAATAAATAATAAAATTTATTTGGTAAATATAGTTAATCACCCTGCTACTTGGCCGCCTGCATGCCATGATCTCCATGGATCAACTACTGCGAAGCCAAGTGATTTTATCCACTCCAATGTACCAACAAATGGGATTTGAAGATCATGATCTCCACTGTACGTGTTCATCATAAAATAAAGTAAAATGATGCTTCATTCTCGTTGCAAATTTCAAACACGTACGTAATTATGTTCATTTGTAAGTAATTGCTTGCTCTGAGCCTTCGATCCTCACCTGTACACTAGAGCTCTGTAGCCTCTTTTTGCTAGATTTTTGTGATATGGCACTGAGCTGGGAATGCTGCGAGTGTAATTATATATAGCAATATTGAAATTGCATCGATGCCATCTTCCCACAGTTCCCTAATGTCACATTATTCACAAATTTCATATTAAAAAATGCCAAAATTTTTTATCAAGTAGAGTTCTTCATAATGGATGATCGATGTAGAAACTTATAAGAAAATCAAAAGATAAAACATACCTCCTCAACTTGTAGGACATTTCTTGCAAGTTCATTGTTTGCCCAATAATTAGCAAGAAGATCTGGAGTCTGTATGGGAAGTATTCATTGTTGCATAGATTAATATTACCTTTCAACGAATTTAATTATATGTATATATTGCTTATATATAATGGACTTAACTATGCAATTAATATCAGGTGAAGGTTGGTTGAGGAAATCTGCTGAGTTTTCCTCGAGTGACCTGCGAAGGCCTAAAATCTCTTTTTGAGGTTCATCAGAACATAAGGGTTCCAATATACCGAACACATTAATTTCTGAAAGAAACTGTTTGCATAAGAGTTTAGATTACATGATATAAAGGTAATTAATTATACAGAGTAAGTACCTCCTCAAAGACTTGAAGGTGAGTTTTACAAAGGGCACCCTGAGGTTTCAGGTAATCTTCACCTTCGCAATTCGTTTGAATAAGCTGAAATAATGGGAATCATAATGTTATTACAGAAATATATATATATTAATAAAGCAAGATAAGGTGATTGGTTATCATCTATTATAGCAATTTCATTTTATAAAAGGTAAGAAATATCAAAACCTTATAGAGTTGCTCAGAAATAACTCCTAATCCGTAAGCATGCGGGACTTGGGAATTCTTATCTGTTTTTTCGCCTGTTACAGCGTTTCCAATTATATAACCCTGATACAATTCCAAACAACGAAATCAGAAAAAGATTGTGTTATCATCTATTAAGAAATAACTCTTTCATTTTATAAAAATTAAGAAATATCAAAACCTTATAGAGTTGCTCAGAAATAACTCCTAATCCGTAAGCATGCGGGACTTGGGAATTCTTATCTGTTTTTTCGCCTGTTACAGCGTTTCCAATTATATAACCCTGATACAATTCCAAACAACGAAATCAGAAAAAGATTGTGAAATCTGCAAGTTTCTCAGTTCAAATTTTGGCTTTCAAATCAATATATTTGCTATAGAATCTATACCTTAATATTGATTAGCGGATTTTGACCTTGCTCGTTTCCTGTAAGACAACATATGAATAACTAAACATTAGGAATAATTAGTTCTCATATGAGCAGCGCTAGCCATAAGCATACCAGAAAATTAAACTAGTAAATTACCTTCGACAATCTCATGAGAAAGGAGAGTAGCCATCTTCCCACCATAAGATTCACCACCCATGTAGAAAGGATTTGACACGAAATTGGGATGATCAAGAAGCCACTGCATCATCGAAAGTGAAGAATGTAAGAATTAACTATATAATGGTGCAATGTAATAGCTAGGAGTGGCTATTTTAATAGTTTTTTTTTATAATATCTTTTTAGAAATTTTCGATGCCATGTATTTGCTTTATATATAGAGTCTATATATAATGCCTCTATCGTAGAGTGTTCATCTTTGATTAACAATTTGAGAGCTTTTTTCTTTCTTATTCGATGTCTTAACATAATAGTCATTAAACCTATGATGTTTATCAATTTCTCTGCATTCTCGACCTCTTACCTTTCTGAGAAATTTGTAGATATTCCTTTTAGTTTGAATATCCTCTGTGATATAGTCTTTATCAGTTGTTGAGTAAGAGAATCCAGTGCCGACAGGCCAATCCAAGAAGATCATACTGGCAATCTGAAAATTCATATTAGGAGAGTAATTAATATATACCAGCGGCATCATCATGCATACTTATAGTGGAGTACTTGTATATAAATGGTGCTAGCTAGATTTCTCACCTTGGTCCAAGCATAAGGATTGATGACTAGGGTAGGAGTGTTTCCATCAAAATTATCAGTCTTAAAATTAAGAGGCCCTGTATTTAAAAAAAAAGTTTCATTGTTGTGATGACAATGATGATGGTGATGAATGATTTGCAAAAAATAATAATAATAAGTTTTCTATTTGCTGTCATTTTCTTCTCTTTAAAATAGAATCCCTACATTACTTTTTTTTTTATATAAAAAAATTAGGTTAATTAATATTAATGTGAAATTCCTAAAATATCCTTAATGAAACCCTGATGGGGGGATCTCATGCCTTTGAACTCACATAGGATAGTTCTATAAGACGTTAATTAGACTCAATAATATGATTACTGAAACATGAAACAAAAATTAGCAAATAGCAACCCATTTGGGTGAAAGAGATTGATAATTGATTGATTGATTACCCATATGCAAAGCCAAGCCGGCAAAACCCGAGCAGCCCGGCCCGCCCGTTAGCCAAAGGATAAGAGGGTCCTCTTCTGGTTTTCTCTCTGACTCCACAAAGTAATAGAAGAGCTCCGCTCCGCTCTCGTCATCTACAGACACATACCTTTTCACACAAAATATGAAACCATTAATTAACCAATTTTTTCAAACATTAATTAACCTCTTAATTTGGAATGACTTTCTTATTATTTTTAAATTAAATTATTAGTATAAAAATTAAAATTTTTATGTTAAAAAACTGTTTTAAAAAATAATAAGAAAACCATCCCAAACAAGAACTAAATCGCACACAGAATTAATATAATTTTGCAAAACTATAAATTTATAAAAATTTATATGTTTCAAGCTCGATGTCAACTATTATCCACACAATTTGATATTTAATTACATTCATCATTTTGTACAATTTTCAATGTTAAGGCCATTAAGCCGTTAATTGTGATTACGGAAAAGTTAAATTAGATGGAAAATTACATAAATATGTGATTTTTTTTTCCTCCTACGAGATTGAATAATTTAGGGCCCTTTAGGAATGATTGTAATTTTTTATGAAGCTCGTTATAAAGTTGATGTGGAAAAAATAAATTTTGAAAAAATTTATATAAAAAATAGATTCATATCATAAATTTCTTCAAAATCATAGAAAATAATGATCAAACTAAAAAATATGATTTTGATCTTAAAAAATAAAGTTGTAAAAAAACTATTCCGAATGAAGCATTAATCTTACATTTGGAAATGATAATAAATAAGCATTTCAGTGGAAAAGGAAATTTCTCCTAAGTATGTCTTTTTAATATTTTATGTTCCTTTACTTTTCAAATTTCATTGACGTTTAACTATCAATTAGAGAAATGCTTTTCATTTATAAATTACCACTAACCGAACGCTTTTTAGGAAAAATGGTTGCTTAAGAATTTTTTTGTAGATAATTAAGAATTTGTGATTGATGTTTTCTAAAGCAAATAAAAATATTATTTAACTTTATTAATTAGTTGGTGAACTTGTGCAAGCATTTTTTTATTAATTAATTTAATAATTTTGCATCTTGTTATTTTATATTTATTTATTTATTTTCTTTGACTAAATATAATGAAAGTAGAAAAAAAATTACTTACATAATTTATATCAAAATGGATTTATTATTTTTTAAATTTACATTGAGATATCATGAACTATATATGTTAATCACAATAATATATATTTAAGAGCTCTTGAGATCCTTCTAATAAAAATTATATCAAAATATTTCTATTTTTATTTTTTGATGAAAATTTGGAGAACACAATAACGACTTAGGTTTCATTTGGGGTGCTATTAATCATTATTTTTTTAAGAAATTTTTTACTAAAAAATTATTTTAGAAAGTATGTATATATATATGTGAATATTGTTAATAAACTTTATACTTTTCTTAATGATACAATATGCTTATTCATTATAAAAAAGCCACAAGACTAATTTCAGATTCAGAAACTTTGAATTGAAGGACTAATCAACTATGAAGTTATAATTTCCCTTTGAACAAATTTCAGTCGGCCATTATTTGCTTTGTTCAACAATCCAAAAGTTTGAAGTCTTCCTCCTCCCAAATGCCATTTGAGATATAGTAAAACTTTTTAGTAAACAAAATGAATAATTGCTAATTAATAATAGCAATTCTAAACCATATTCACTAAAGTTTAGCCTTATGATCGATGAGGTGTTTAACTGTATTAATTAATAATTATAACAAAAAAGAAAACTCACCCAGTCTCCAAATGGAAGGGAAGCTCGCCGTGGAAGCCTGGAAGATGAGTGATGTTGACAGCAGAGAGACAGCCGAGCCATAGATGAGAGGGGAAGAAGAAGAAGAAGAAGAAGAGGAAGTTGAAATTGAAGAAGAAGAAGAAGTTTTTACTCATCTTTTGAAGAGATAACAAACTCGGCCTGTAATATTTCATTCATTTATAGAGCAAACAAATTGATAGCGATCGGATTCTGCGGTCCCTCGCATGCGATACAGCCATTAATTAGCATTCGAAACAAGCAAACAGACTAATGGTAGCAATCACATTCTATGTCACTAAATAGAATAAATAATTTGGAGAAGGAGATTAAAGGTCAAATTAATGTGACGTAAGTCATACAGTACCGGCATTTTGTAAGTAATTGAGATAAAGGTTAAGGTTTCATTCATGATACTTTTTTTAATGCTTTTAAAGCTATTTTTTAATAAAAATTTAAATTTTTGTACTAAAAAAATGCTTTAAAAGCAATAAAAAAATTATCCCAAATAACGCCTAAATTATGTGAAGTAACGTCATGTACATATATAGAGAGAGAGAGAGAGAAATTAAAAGTTCATAAGTTTTGTTCAGTTCAAAAGAGCTCATCGAGTTTCTCATTGAGAGGTAGTTTGAGTTGCTCATCCGCATTCGTCCGTCGTACCAGCGTTAGTCGTCAGCATCGCTTGCGTCTGTGTATTCACCAGCATTTGCCTCGTCGCCAACGTTCGCGTTGTCTTTCCAAGCATTAGTCGTCGTTATCACCAACGCCCGTCGCCAGCTTTAGTTGTCTTCTCCTACATCAGTCGTCGTAGTCGCCAACGTCCGGCCAGCGTCAATCCATCGCGTTTCAATTCCCCACATACGCGATTTCATTTTCATGCTGGCAACATGTTCCGCAAGTTGCTCGATGAGCTTGCAAGTCAAACAGAGGGCTATTTGATCTCGAGCTCGATAAGCTCCGCTCGCGAACCTATTATAGAGCCGAGCTCGAGTAGTAAGTTTCAAACATCATAGTATTTTTTTTTAATATAAAACATTTTTTTTTTATGTAGGTTGTTGGTCCAACACTACTATATTAATTTTCGAGAGGTCGTCATCGGCGCCGTACGAGAATTGACAGGTTACCTAACGCCCATACGTAACGGACAACAATGGAAACAAAGCCAGCTCATGAAATTTTCCTTTAATTTTTTTTAAACCAGATTATGTTGCAAATTTATTACATTTACTTTAAGATGAACTTAATATACAAATAACAAATCATTAATTTAAAATTATACTAATTTATTTGAAGATCAATTTAATAATTTTAAAATAAATAATACTAATAAATTTAATTAGAATATTCTGTTCTTTTTTTTAGATAAAAATTATATTAAAATTTGTTGGCTATCTAAGCTAATTATTAATAAATTAATAGACTCGTTTTACTAAAATTAAAAAAAAAAAATCCCAGAGCGAAAGGAATTCGGCAGAATATGTAAACCACTTATTCGGCTCCAAATGATGAAATCTTTATTTAGCAGTAAGATGAAGCAACGCCTAGAGACTAACAAGCAAATACGTGCACGCAAATAAGGGAAAATGAGATTTTTATTATTCAACTCCAAACTCGCAGTTCTTTAATTTCTCTCATTTGACAAAGTGGAGAAGCTTTAGTTATTTTAGTTGCATATATATATTTAAATATTTATAGGTGCTTCTTGTTGTTGTTGTTGTTGAAGGGTTAGAATGATCAAACTTTGACATGCGAACATAACAACAGTGCATGTTTTTAAATAATACGATTCAAAGTTTTGTTAATACTCAGAGTAAAAGTATTGTGGCACACATTTTTACATATTGTTATTTTTTTTTGAAGTTATATTACTAGAATATTCATCGATCTAAAAGAGCATGAATCCTTGGAGCAATATTTGAATAAGAGTAGTGGTGTCAATATTTGACCCGACATGAAATTTGATTCGAATTTGACCAGAAAAATTTTGTGTTCGAGTCAACCCCTTTGACAAACGAGTTGGATTTAGGTTTAATATTCTGACCCATTTTTAAAATCGAGACGGATTTGAGTTGACCTGAAAACCCAAACTTAACCCGGATTTAGCCCCTCGGTTTGCTTTGTGTGTCTGGCGCCTGCAGTCCTGCATGCGTCATGCCTATCGCCCACATCCCTCCCCGCAGCTCACGTCGCACGTCCCGCACTTGCACGTGTTACGCCCATCCACCCACATCCTCGACAGCTCAACCCTGAGCTCGTTGTAGGGGTGTCAATATTTGACACGACCTGAAAATCCGACTCGAACCTGACCTGAAAATTCTGAGTTAGGGTCAACTCGGACCCGAAACATGTTGGGTTCGGGTCATTCGCGTGGTGTCAGGTTGACCTGGACCTGAAGCGGGTCGGGTTCGGATCCGAAAAACTGACCCATTTCAAAAAACGGGTCGGGTTCAGGTTGACCCGAATAGTGCCGGGTCAATTTAGGGTTTGACCCGAACTCGACTCTTAACCCGAAATTGACACCCCTACTCGCTCACAAGGGCCACACTGCCACAGCTCGAGCATGACCTCGCAACTTGCCTCACCTACATCCAACCCACAGCCTGCATCTCACGTCCTGATGGCGCCTCTCACCCGTATGCATCATGCTCGCGTCTCGCATGCACCAACCCCCTCGCTCTCGATAGATGCAACCTGCCTCACTCACGCATCACCCACAACCCCCGAGCTCGCTATGGCCTACTACCTACCTTGCGCGTTTGCCCCACAACCTGTGCTCGACCTAGGTTTAGGATGGGTTGGGTCAACATGGGTTTGGGCGGGACCAACGGGTCTGATTCGAGTTCGAATTTCTGACTCGTTTCTAGAATTGGGTCGTGTTTGTGTCAGGTCAAATAATAACGGATCATTTTCGAGTATGAATCGAACCTGTCAAATAAACTTATTTTGATACACCTAAATAAGAGTCTTGATAAATTAAGTTTTGGACCATCCCAATTCTAATTTTAGCAAACTTGCATTCTAAATAAACATTTCAATAAGGCAAATTCATGAACATGAAAAGTTTTTTTTTTATCCTAGTTCAAATGATCCTAAATCATACATTCAAAATATAATTGACAACTTAGTGATATTGTTTAAGGTACCAAACATTCTCCAAACCTCACACGCTTATAATTAAAGTTGTCATCTTAATGAGACAAATTTAATGAGTACAATATTACACAAGACTGATGTCATTAATGACTTAAATTTTTAAGAAGCAGCCTATGATAGAGGGAATGAACACAAGTCGTCTAATGATGTACATGAAAATTTTGTCTACAATTTTTAAAATGAACATCAAAAAATTATAAATGAGCCCATTCTTCACATAAATAGAAGGGAATGAGGAAAGGCCTTAGAGATTTGAAGAACTACTTAACCTTATCCTATAAATAATGTCCAAGCACTACTAAGAAATAATGCATTCACATCACTTTTTTGACATACTGCAGCAGTTTAAACACATACAAATTTGTTGAGATTGGAATCACTATAAATCTGTTGTATTTTCATTCACTGAAATAATTTTTACAACAGTTTCATGAGTGCTGTCGTAGGAAGGCTTTAGCAACGCTTTTAGCATGAATTAAAACCGTTGCTAAAGACCAGAACAAATTATATATATATATAACATCAAAAAATCAAATTTTATGATCAAATTAAAAATATCAAAAAATACTGTTTCAGCTTGGCAATTTTCACATAAATCAAGCTTTGTACATATATGTTTCAGCTCGGCAATTTTTATCCTCCTTTGAATCTAAACAAAGAAAATTGCTTAAAATTTCAGCATATGAAAGAATTAAGTAAAACCAACAACAAAAATAATTCAACTACAATATATAACCTTTTTCTTGTTATTAGAGAACCCTTTCTCCTACTGCTGAGTAACTGGCTCATCCTCCAAAACAGTCCTTTTTCATAGTCTCTGCAAAGGAGATCATCGAATTAATTACACAAATATATGACCATATGATCTACATTTCCACCACTTGCAAGTATTTATAGCTCAATCATTTAAATTTTTATATTTTTTAATAACAAAATGCATTTTCAAATTTTTTTTTATAAAAAGATCGTATCTTCTTGTTATGAAACTTAATTGTAACTTTGGTCAATAAAAAATTTCTATGAATTCTCTAAAGTACTCTTAATAAAAGAATTCGTTGATGTTATACTATGTAGTCGTTGTGTAGAAAAAAAATTTCATAGCAAAATAATTAGGAGCTACAATTACTTACACTCAATCATTAATTAATTGAAGAGACAGAATAAAAGCCCAATTAGACATTAGAATCCTTCTTTTTGAATTCTTGGTGCGCAATAGCATTCCAATATGCTTCAAATACATAATAGTTGTAACACCCCACGATATCCATTATGATGTACTATCCTGCACAGAAAAACTCAACAAGCAAGCAGGAAAACCAATGGAACAATAAATTGTTCTTGCTTAGAGGATAAAAACTCTGTATGGCTGTCTTCTTCCAGCATTTCATTACATATACTCTAAAGCTTCTATAATACTAAAATAACTAACTGTAATTATAAAAGCAACTATAGTACTATCTTCCTAAAAGTAGGAAGGTGGTAGAAAACTTGCAACGAACTGCACATGGCTGGTAAGTGGGCACGGTAAGCTAAGTATAGGGAACTAAGGATGCTCCGCATCACACGTCCCTTCCACAAAAGAGACGTTGTTGGGCTATTCAATATTATCTATTCTATCATCAGGTGGGTAATAAGTATAAAAATCTACAATGTTAAATGTGTTGGGAGTGTTGAACTCCGCCAGCAAGTCGACAACATAAGCGTTGTCATTAATATAATACTTCACAGGAAATGGACCAAACTTCCTCCTAATAAGTTTGCAGTAAGTTCCCAAAGGAAGTTGATATTTTCGCATGCGAACCATGACTAAATCTCCTGGTTTGAAAACTTTCTTCCACCGGTGAGAATCCCCATCCAGTTTATATTTAGCATTAGATTCCTGCAATTTTGAACGCACTTTGGAAAGTTGTCGAAGAATTGATCGACCAACACCAATGCTGCCTAGCTCTTACAGTTTAGAATGACTGCAATATCAACAAGAGTATTTGGCATTTTA